AAAAGCCATGCAAATCTTTTTAAATTTTTTTTCATTTTAAAGATGTGGGGTACAACTCAGATTTAGGTATACAAGTGGTCATCATACAGGTAAAGTCTGGGCTTCTCTTTTGTCCCCACTTCACCTGGTTTGAGATCAGGTACCCTTATTGATGTTATGTGCCATGCAAATCTTATTGTGACTATCATCTCAAGGAGACTCTGAACTCTACAACTGGAGTAAAATCTCTCTGTGTTAGGGGCTGAGGTGAGACCCTGTGATCCAGGAGTTTAGGATAACAGCAAACCTGATTGCTTCACTCAGTGGAATTGTGAGTGTTTAAAGTTTCCTTGTTGTTTAATGTAAATTTGAAAAGCAGAGATATAAGAAAATCAGCATAATTTGAGATTGTAAAGGAGAGAAGAAAAAGTACAGGTGTCACCCATGTGCCAGACACTGTGTTAGTCTCTGTAGGGCACCCAAAGATGAATAAGGTATAGAATTTACAATCTGGAGGTAAGCATATGTCAAAAGACAAAAGGGTATGGAGATTTCAAATTAGGTAGAAGTCAAAGAGTTGATGAAATAAAGGCCCAGGGGTGAGGAAGCACACATATGTCCTGAGAATTTCAAAGGAATCAATTTAGCTAAATAGTACAGTTGTCCTTTGGTGTCTGTGGGTTCCTTCTTTGGGTTCAAAAACAGTGGATAAAAATATTTTTTAAAAAAATTTTTATTTGTATTCACGTACACAGAATATTTTTCTTTTCAATATTCCCAGTCTAAAAAAAATACAGTATAACAACTATTTGCATAGCATTTATACTGTATGAGGTATTTTAAGTAGTCAAGAGATGACTTAAAGTACGCATGAAATGATTCTGTCATCTGAAAGAGGTCCTGGAACCAATTTCCCACAGATTATAAGGGACAGCTTTATGTGAAAGAAAGCCATGTAAAAGCTGGGTCCATATTATTAACATGTCTTTATGACTTCTTTTCCCACTTAGAGATTACTATATTTTTATAAGACTAAATAAGGGATAAATATGATATCAAGATTACACAAACTCTGTTAAATTAAATCACCTTTTCCCGAACTTCATCAGAGGCTTCGTGATTGGCATCCAGGAGGGCTTGACCAGTCTCATCAGCAGATTGAAATCGGTCATCGTAAGAGTCAATCTCATGCTGTGGTCACAAGACAACATGTCTCAATATGCAGCAAGAAACCTTCTGACATTCCTGGCACTGGCCCAAATTGCCTGCACCCTCTTTCCTCCTGGGCAGCCTTTCCTCTCTACCTTATGTTACTGGTGTCTGTCCAGCAGGGCTTCCCCACCAGCTACATCAGTTGGCAGCTCGTCAGCATTGATCAGAGCTGTCTTCTCCTTCATCCAGCCTGAGAGCTCATCAAAATCAGATAAGAACCGCTGGTACCTGTGGGAAAGTTGAGGAAAAAGCAGGAAGGAGAAACCAGATGTGAAAGGATGTTGATTAGAGTTAGCATTAGGTTGAGCTAAGATGTGTGAAATGTTTCTTGACCTAATTCCCCTCCTCCCCTTCCCCTGACATACTTCCTGTTATTTACAGTCAAAGTGTTTTTTAATCATGCAGGTTGTAAGTTCGTCACTCCAGGTTGTACATTACTAGGGCAGGTGTGTCACTGTGTGATGTGACCCATGGTCATTACAGCTCTGCCATCACAAGGTCACACCTACCCTAGAGGTACTTGAAACAGAGTGGAGAATTCACAATGCAGCCAATGAATAATTACATGTCATGTAAATAACAGGTAGTACCCTGTGGAAAAGGAAACTAGAATTAGGTTTAGGATTCTGCATATATTTTAGCTCATCTTTAATCCTATTAATAAAAAACAATGTCAAAATGGTTAACCATTTAAAAAATTAAATGCTCATCATTTGGTTTTAAATCATAACACTAAAATAAACACTATCTTCTGGTCATTTAAGGACTAGCCATCAGAATTAACTAGTGAAATGATGCTTGGTTTTCAGAGTTGTTTGTGTGTGTGTGTATGTGTGTGTGTGTGTATGTTTTAACCCATATTCAGGACATAACACTGGAGTTATTTTGATGCTTTTCAGTTCAGAAATTTATTGCATCTTAACTAGAGCCAGGATTTTGAAATTTCTCTTCAGCTGCCTTTCTAGTTTTCTGAACCACTTCATAGCATCCTAGGTCTATACAAACAGGGAAAGACAAACAGATGTCCCCCACAATGGATACCAGAAACTGCAGATAGATATATATATATATATAACTTTTCTATACGTACATCCCTATGATAAAGTTTAATTTATAAATTAGGCACAGTAAGAGATTAACAATAATAACTAACAATAAAGTAGAACAATTAAGTAAAATAAAGGTTATTTGAACACAAGCTGCCTCATACCTCAACTGTTGATCTGATCACCAAGACAGCTATGGAGTGACTGACTAATGGGCAGGTATGTATCCAGTGTGGATACACTTGACAAAAAGATGATTCATGTACTGGGTGGGAAAGAGTGGTGGAACATGAGATTTCATCTTAGGACAGGGTGAAATTTAAAACTTACGAATTGCTTAATTCTAGATTTTACATTTAATATATTTTCAAACTGCAGTTAACCATGAGTAACTGTAACTCAGAAAGTGAAACTGCAGCTAAGGAGGTTACTGCTGTGTTATGTCAGCCCACAAATGACTTCCTTTGTAGTTAAATCTTTTGCTCTGTGGAACAGGCAGGAGAGCCAAGTCCCTCACTATTTTACTTCCTTCCCATTTTTCAAAATTATGTCTGGGAACTGTTGAGATGGGCAGAGCAATAGAGGAGTGTGTTCCCACCAGTAAGAAGCCTGCAGCTTTTCATATCTGCTGGTAGCCAAGCCTCGGATGTGCCCCCAGTTGGAGACCAGATCTTCTTTCATCTGCTGGATGTGAGGTGCATCTGAAGGGTGGGAAAGCATCAGCTTGTCTGCTTTGGCACATAACTCCTTCACCTTTGGGATGCAAAAGAAACCTCATTACTAAAACTAATTACTAAATCTAATTACTCAGACTTCTCCTGGCAACGTTTTGTGGGAGAGATGTAGCAAAATAATAATAGTAATTTATAAATATATTTATATTGATATGTTTCTATTGGTATACGAGTTACTATATTAATAAGTATAATGTATTAAGTTATTTTATCTCTGATCGTGCTAAGAACTTTACATGCATTTTTTCATTTTATGCTTTGTATTTAATAATAGGGTAGAAAGAATGAGGTAGAAATTATTCTTTTTCCTCTTTTATATGAAAACTGAGAGGTAAAGTATTCTATTTCCTCCAAGTCATTCAACTAGTACGTGTCAGAAGCAAAGTTTAGACCGAGATTTTTCCTTCACCATCCTCCTCTATACCACTTCCCTAAATATTATTGTGGGAGTCAGAAAGGCATTTCTGCCCAGAAAGCCAACAAAACTCCAATAATGCTGCACCATTGTAAGTACAATTCCTGAGGAGCAAGGTTACTAGGACAATGTGAATATGGGTGAGTTTTCACATGTTATTAGTCCTTTCATTACACTCAACTATAATCAGTTGTTGTCTAAGGTGTGGGATTTCACTACCATTATTCATCAAATCATGGAATTTTATTATTCATGACTAAGCAAAAAGAACAAAGATATAAGTAAAATGGAAGAAGTAGAATGGCAAAAGTTTGTAGAAATTAGACACATGAACAGGATTAGTAATTAAAGCACAGCAAGTGTGGATCTTTCTGTGGTCTGACTCCCTGTGGACACTCAGTAGTAATTGGTTTAATTTATGGGTATGAGGGAAAAAAGTAAAGAATGGGAATCAGTCAAGAAATCGGCTTGCTCCAAGTTCTAGTATGCCATGTCCACGACTCAAGATATAGAAACTGAAGTTTTCCAGGTTTTCAAAGAGAATCTAAAGGTGGGCTTACCTTTAAGTGTCTCAGAGTTTATCATAGAAGGAAAGAAAGAATATGTTTTCCTAATCTACCAAGTGAAGGATAAAAATAAACAGTTTTCGGCTGCAACAGAAGAAAGTATGGTTAGATGAAAAAAACAAAATGCATACACACACTGGCCACAGCATATTTTACTGAGTGAGATCCTTGATGTATCGTTTTGTTTCTAAATTGCTAAATATATTAGAAAACCACAAGAGTATATAAAACAAATATGAATATTTAAATTAAAATGATTTCAATAAAAATGAGCATCCAACATTCATGTACAAGTTATGAACTAGAATGAAGAAATATATTCAAGTGCCACAGAATTTCTCCTTCATTAATATGAGTGAATTTGTGCCTCTGGAGGCATGGCATTAGGTAAGGGGCCTGCCGATACTCCAACAGTGGCTTACCTTGTCATCCATGACTGCAAGGTTCCTCTCAAATCCCTTGTGACTGTGAAACAGTGCTTCAGAGCTAACAAGGTCTTTGCCATAGTCCTCTGAAGTGACTAGGGGCTCCTTTTCTTTGATCCAGTGGATGGCTTCAGTCACATCCCTGTCAGACGTTAACAAGAGCTCCAAACAAACAATACGGCAGGAATTTCGAGCAAACAGTGTAACAGAGCACACAGCAAGGGACACCCTAGTTCACACAGGGGCAATTACCCAGCCTCCCTACATACCAGCAAACAGTAATACACCGTTTTCTTGATTATTAGTTGTTTCCACTGAGATGTTAGGTACCTGGACTTCCTGATGCTTGAGCCTACAGGCACACTTCCCATATTCAGGTCAACTCCTTATGAATGCTTTTCTTCTTCCCAACTCCACCTCTCAACCCTATCTAATTCTTAACCTGTTTTTCTTGCCTCCGCAGGACTTCCATCACTAAATCACCAGTACTATAAATTTTCTTCTTGCTTTGGGCTCCAGTGTTCGCAGCATTGACTAACCTATCTCCTCCTTTGCTGTCTTAAATGCAAGCACATGATTCACTTTGGTTTGAAGTATTGACCACTAATTGCTAACAGGAATAGAAGGTGGCTAACGCAAGCAATAAACATGATGCTTTTTCAAAGTTTTCTATAAAGCAGTGGCCAGATCCATACCTTTTAAATCGCTGGAGGTCTGCGGCATTGGACAGGGTTTTCCGTCTCTGGAGAGCTAGACCATGAAGACGCTCCCAGGCAGCATTCACCTCATCCTGCTTTCCCTTAATCAAGGGCAGGTCAGGGTGGTCCTCCTATGGAAGGAAATCAAAACTGGAGTCATACAAAGATGAGACCATATTTAAAAATCAGTTAAATACTTTGTTTTTGTTTAGATTGGAAAATATAGCTTATTTAAAAAGTAAATTGGAGAGAGAGAGAGAGAAAGAGGGCATTCACCACCCCAGTGGAGAGGAGGGGACCAAAGTTAGGAAACCATGGCTATGGCCATAGTTCAAAGAGCACATGGCCCCACCAGCATCTTAGTAAGGCAATGGCTAAACACTTCTCATTTTATGATGGTTTATAATTTATCAGAAGTGGAGACTAACATTCCACTACTAACATTGTAGCCAGACTCTGAACTTGATCATAGCTCTGCTCCCCAGCTTCCACCCAGATAACCAACCAAAACCTAGAAAATTAACCACCAGATATTGTATCCTGTGCCTACAGCATTGAATTAGCCTACTAACACAGACTGCTCTGCCTTGGTGTTATTTTCAGAGCTCCACTTTGTTGATGCCTACCAAATCCCCTGGAAATCTTGGACATCCAGGAAAAGAAGAAAAAATTACCTTTGTGAAATATGACTTAATTTTCCTGAACTCTACTACTCTGATTTTTAACTCTTTTGTGGTCCTAATACCTTTGAGAATCCAATGAAAGCTATTTATCTCTTCCAAGAATTATAGACACAGGCTTACACATATGATTTTGCAGAACACTTTAGGCATTGTTTGCAAACCATCTGAGGCAGTGAGGTCTGTGAATACTAGATGAGGCTAGCAGTATTAGCCTACTCTGGTACTTTGCAATTTTGAGGAGTTTGTATGTACCTAGTCTCCTTATTTCTACTGTCCCCATTTCTTCCCATTTCCATTCTCTTCTAAGTATCTTCACACAGAATTTTCTACTTCTTCTTCTTGTGTGTATGGTTCTATTATAGTGACATTAACCCCACCTTAGACTAGCAGAGGATATATTCTATGTTGAATTCATCGTTTCAGTGATGGTTTGGGAAAAAAAATGACCATGTTATTTTGCCACTTCTCCCTTCAAAAGGTGGAGTATGTTTCCTCAAGACTTGGATATATGATGGGTTTTAACTTGCTTACCAACAGAATGTGGAAGAAGTAATTTTTTACGAGCTCCAGTATCTCAGCCTCTAGACACTCTGTTCTCATCCTCTTGGAACACATTAGGGTATTTGTGCATGCAAAGATGCCTGGCCTACTGAATGACGAGAAACCCCACAGAGCAATCCTTCATCACCTTGCCGGGGCCCCATATATGGAACTAAGACCTTCTTAGATATTCTGCCCCAGCTGATCCACCCAATATCTTCATGTGAAAATACCAAGTGATATCAAGAGAACAGCCCAGCAGCCCAAATATCTGACTCACTGAATCATGAACAAATCAGCTGCCTGTTGCTTTAAATTTTATGATTTTTTAGATAGTATCTATAAATGGAAAGCTGCCACCACAAAAGGAAAGTGGTGAAAGTAGAAAATGTAGAAATTACTGGAAATATGGCCTGAAAAAAATTGGAAAACATAGGTTGTTTTCTCTACTTCGGCACTCACTTACCCAAAATTTTGGTTTTTATCAATACAGAAGATCATTCTCAATATAGAATCACAATCATAATGAAACCATAAATATAACCAACCTGTGAAGTTTATTACACACCCACCCACACCCACACACACACACACACACACACACACACACACACACATTCAAATATATAATATTAGGCACTTGTTTAAAACTTCAGTCTTTGTCTCTCATCTATGTATATCTATCTATCATCTATCTATCCATCTATCTATCTACCTACCTATAAATCATCTATCTCTATTATCTATCTATCTCAAATTACCTTCTCAGTCTTTCTGTATATACTAGGGTCATTTATTCCCACACTGAGCCTTTGTCTGCACATAGATTGCAAACTTATGTAAGTTTTTTTTTTTTTTTTTGAGTGGGAGTCTCACTCTGTCGCCCAGACTGGAGTGTAGTGGCCACTCCCAGCCACCGCAGCCTCGACCTTCTGGGCTCCGGCGATCCTTCTGCCTCAGCCTTCCAAGTAGCCAGAATTACAGGCATGCGGTACCACAACTGGGTGATTTTTTGATTTATTGCAGAGATGAGGTCTCGCTGCCCAGGCAGGTCTCAAACCCACAGGCTCAGGCAATCCATTCACCTCAGCCGCCCAAAGGTGCGGGATTACAGGCTGAGCCACCGAGCCCGGCAGTATTTTCTTAAGTAAATAAAAGTAAATCTACCTCCCTTCTTCTTCTTACCCTCCAAAAATAATCATGTATAATGATATCATATATATTATGATAACCCCACATTATTTTATATTATTTGTTACTTTATTCTTGTTTCTTTCCGTGTAGAAAAAGTGCCCGATAAACACAAAAAAATGGTGTACCACGTAGCACAGTAACTATGTCATTGCTCATTGTAGATTAAATTCCTCTGCACATACACACACACACACACACACACACACACACACACACACACATCACTAGCAAGGAGTGGATCGAGACGGGAAAGGAATCTGTTTAGGGTGTGTTGCTCCAGGGATGTGCAACCCTCTGTTTTCTCAAAATATTCCATCTCCCTCATATTCTATTAATGATTGGAAGTTCTGCTTGAAGACCAGAATCCTTTCCCTGAATGACTTTTTTGCTCCCACCTCACCTCAGCACACTCATTGGCATATTGGTTCACTCCATCCAGTCTCCCCTTTCGAGCAGCCAGGTCCACTTGGAACTCTTCGAATTTCTTGTGCAGAAATTCTGTGCGCTCCCAGTCCTCACCCAGCTCCACCGATGTCACTATAGCCTCCTGTAGACACAGAAAAGTTTATTGAGTTGCCAACAAACATTTAGAAGTACCTGCAGGTCAAAAGCCCAAAATCCCTGCTTGCATTCCCAGTGTAACTCAGACAGAAATACTGGGGCATGCTGGGAAAACCACTCCTGGGAAAAGCCAGAAGCAGGAGGGTATTTCCTGAGATCTAATCTTGGCCAAGGGAATGTGCTCTTCTAGTAATTCCTCGATGAGAGAGGCATTGTTGGTCCCAAACTCCTGCAAGTACCCTTTTGTGTTTCAGACATGAGGGATAAATTCATTCTGTTTCTACTCACTTCAAGATACTGATTATCTACCAAAGCACTGCATTAGGGACTTGCTTATTTAAATCTTCAGTCATAACTATAGAATTAGTCTTTAAGTATTAAGAAAAATAACACTCCCATAGTTATAGGCACTAAGACACAGGAGATTAGATGAAGAACTGGCAACACTCTCAGTGAGGCCTCAGAGTAGGAGCAAAATATAAAAAGGAGGAGTTGAAGATCATGAAAGTGGAAGGGGGATGAGCCTTGATTGTTTTCCAGTGTACAAACTTTGCATAAGCCTTGACTTTTCCATATTCAGATCCATATATTTAGACACCCCCTAGAGTGCTAATTCCAGAATATCCCAACATATTTGCCCCGATTGCCTCTTCAAAGAACAAAGGCAGGAGCACACACTCTGACTTCTTCGTGAGTAATCTGCAGTAAGTTGCTGTGGGGTACCTGGAACAGAGGTGGGGAAGGTTCTGTGTGCTTGCTGTTAAGCCTATACCTTGTCTCCGATCCACTCTAGGATGTCAGCGCACTCCTGCAAGAACTGCTGGAGCTTCAGGGCCCGCAGCAGCAGGACTCCTTTCTCCTGGGTCAGCTCCAGTAGCAGGTCCCACAGATGGCGCAGTTCCTCCAGATGGGCCTTTGGGGAAGAGAGGCAGAACCACTCAGGCACAGAGGCTGTGGCGCAGGATCAGACCCAAAGACGTGTGCAGAAAGGGACCTGGATAAAAAACGTTCCTTCCAATTCACACATGCATTAATTGATCAACATAAAGGAGGAAATAGGATATTTATGGAAATAGCTATTAAACCAAGTCAAATATGATCTTTCATAAGAGAAAATTTTGAAAAAATGCTTTGTGGCTTTCAAAGAGGAAATAGTTACAAACAATAAGATGGAAAAGAGGAAGAATGTGTGGAGGAGAGCTCATTTGAAATGAGCCTTAAGAAACAGAAAGATATTTGACAGGTAGAGAATAGGCAGAGCATGTTCTAAGCACAGCAAACAGCAATGACAAGGGCATGGAAGAAACTTAGCTTGAACTGTCTGCCACAAGGAATAAGAGTTGCCCCTCCTGGCCAAGATGTCTGACATGGAGGATGATTTCATGTGCAATGATGAGGAGGACTGCGACCTGGAATATGCTGAAGATAGTAACTCCAAGCCAAGTGTAGATTTGGAAAATCAGTACTATAGCCCCAAAGCGTTAAAAGATGATCCCAAAGTAGCAGTAAGCAGTTTCCAAAAGCTTTTGGAACTTGAGGGTGAAGAAGGAGAATGGGGATTTAAAGCACTGAAACAAACGATTAAGATTAACCTCAAGTAGACAAACTTTCCAGAAATGATGAATAGATATAAACTACTGCTGAATTATATTCAGAATGCAGTCACAAGAAATTATTCGGAAAAATCTATTAATTCTATTCTTGATTACGTCTCCACTCCTAAACAGATGGATTTACTGCAGGAATTCTATGAAACTACACCGGAAGCTTTGAAAGATGCTAAGAATGACAGACTGGTTTAAGATAAACACAAAGCTTGGAAAATTATATTTAGGACGAGAGGAATATGGAAAGCTTCAAAAAGTTTTACGTCAGTTACATTAGTCCTACCAGACTGATGATGGAGAAGATGACCTGAAAAAAGGTACACAGTTATTAGAAATATATGATTTGGAAATTCAAATGTACATGGCACAGAAGAATAACAAAGAGTTTAAAGCACTCTATGAACAGTCACTTCACATTAAGTCTGCAATCCCTCATCCACTGATCATGGACATTATCAGAGAATGTGGTGGTAAAATGTACTTGAGGGAAGGTGAATTTGAAAGGACACACACTGATTTTTTTGAAGCCTTCAAGAATTGCAATGAATCAGGAAGTCCAAAATGAACCACTTGATTAAAATATTTGGTCTTAGCAAATATGCTAATGAAATTGGGAATAAATCCATTTGATTAACAGGAGGCCAAGCCATACAAAAGTGATCCAGAAATTTTAGCAATGATGAATTTAAAAAGTGCCTGTCAGAATAATGGCATCGCTGAATTTGAAAAGATTCAAATTACGGCAACATCATGGATGATCCTTTCACAAGAGAACACACTGAAGAGCTTTTGCAAAGCATGAGAACACAAGTGCTCATAAAATTAATTGTCTTACACAAGAATACATACTTCTTCTATTTCTAAGGAATTAAACATAGTTGTGGCTGATGTGGAGAGATTGCTGGTGCTGAGCCTATTGGATAACACTATTCATAGCTGAATTGATCAAGTCAACCAACTCCTTGAACTGGCTCATCAGAAGAGAGGTGGTGCACAGTGTACTGCACTAGATAAATGGACCAACCAACTGAATTCTCTCAACCAGGCTGCACTCAGTAAACTGACTTAACAGAGAAAAACTTTTATAGATGTCCTTAAGGCAACAGTGCAGATATGTAATCCTTAAAAGAACTGAGAATGGTAAAATGACTGTCTGCTGATGTGTCCTGAAAATGATTGGAGTTATGGCAGAAGTGCTTTTTTGATCAACTAGTTTGCATTTTGCTTCCGCATTTATCCCAAGAAAAACAGCTTTAATCTCCAGATTAAAATGCCATGGGATTTATGCTGTATTGACATCTTGCCCTGAACATCCAACAGCATAGTAATTTGTCATGGGCAACATGACCAGAGAGATTTTCATCATGATTTTAAATACACTGACAAACTACTGTTGTTTTAAATTTAAACATGTTTTACCTGCAGAAATTATCTCACAAATAACCTACCATAGCTTGAAATGCATACCCTTTTGGACACTTCCTTTTCTCATGTATCACTTAAAATGCTTGCGGCATTTTTCAAAATGTTAATTCCTCAAAAGTGTGTCCGAGTATTTCTGTACCTGCAGTGTGATAAAGGTTTAGATGAAACCCCATAATTATAGTGGCATACTGTCGCTTAGGTTTCAAGCAGCAAAATAAACAGTACAGCTTAGGAAAAAAAAGAATAAGAGTTATAGTGTTTCTGGGATATGAGAAAATCATTGGCACCAAAACAGCAGGTGTTCTGAGACTATATAGTTTGAGATTACACAGAAGGCTTTGAATGCCAGGTTAGCTCAGATCAGAATATCATGTATTACCTATCTTGTGAAATTGAAGTTAACATCTATGTCATATCTTCAAGAATCTCAAATTTGTCAACTATTCTGTTGCCCATTTGATATAGCTCTAGTGATTCTGACAGATGTAAGATGTTTCAAACTTTCTTCAAATATTTTGATTAATATTGGGGTTTGTTATATACAAAACTGTGACTGCTATAAAAATTATTTCTATTTTACACAAATAAATAAGTTTTGAGATATTGTTCTTATGGGTTCTTCTTTATAATAAGATTCTACTCTGGTTAAAAATCTATGTTCCTTGACCATATTTGTTGATGGAAAAATGGGTGGGGTGGGGAAGCTAAAAGTTTTATGCTGCATATAGAAAGGCAAGCCTCAGTTTTAAAATATGTCATACTAATTTGTTTTGACAGCTTAAAAATGCATAATCAGTATAAAGTTCCTTCACACAAATATATTCTGAATTGATTATATTAGCACAAACTTTTGAAAGAGTATGTGGATTAATTCAAGAAATAGTTACTAACAATCCTCAGCAAACAAAACAAAACAAAACAACAACAACAAAAAGCAGGAGGTATCACACTCCTGGACTTTAAATTTTATTATAAAGCTACAATAATCAAAGCAGCCTGGTATTGGCACAAGAACAGGCATACAGACTAATGGAACAGAATAGAGATTCCAGAAGCAAAACCTCAATTTCTCAACCAATTCATCTTCAACAAACCTCCACCAAAAACCACTGGGGAGAGGAGAGCCTATTCAGTAAATGGTGCAGGAAAACTGACTGAACACATGCAGAAGATTGAAACAAGACCCCTACCTATCATCATACACAAAAATTAACTCTAAATGAATCAAATACCTAAACGTAAAACCTCAAACTATAAGATTCTTAGAAAATGCAGGAGACACCTTATGGAAATTAGAACTGTCAACCAATTGTTGATCAAATCCCCAAGTACTCATGCCATAAGAGATAAGATAAACAAGTGGGATCTCATCAAACTGACAATCTTCTGCAAAGCCAAAGAAATCATCAAGAGAGCAGGGAGACAGCCC